CATTCTCTTCCCACTTGAGCCCCTGATATCAGCTCCCTATTTTTCCCCCTCACTATTTGCAATTTTAAAGACCTGTTAATTCTATCTTGGAGCAACGCGTGAGTTTAAACCATTGACCTTTTGATTAGCAGTGTTGTGCTTAACCCACTGTGCTACCAGGGCTTTTCAACACAAACAAGCACGAGAGAAAGGAAGAGCATATCATTGGAGCCCTTCTAAATGAAGATTTGATCTTTCAAAAAGGCATGCGCCCTATTTGAAAATATCCTTAATTTTTATTCAAAAAGATGTATGTCCAATTAATCACATACCGAGGTTATAAAAATCATAACAGATTTTATTAAATGACAGTGGCTCTAAACTGGGGACCATTTTGTGATCCCTGTACTTATCCCTGGAGGTGCTGGAGGTAGGTGTTGGACTACTCACTGCAGCGTTGACGGTCCAAGCCCACCATCTACTAGTAAAGTTGTTTTGAGTTGGAATTGACACAATGGTGGCAGATTCAGGAGCCCCATCCAGGTAAGCATTTGGCAATGTCTAGAGACATTTTTGGTTGTCAAAACTTCTGGGGGGTCTTCTGGGGGGTGCTAGTACCATCTGTTAGGAGCCCAGGTGTTGTAGTGATTGATTACTCATTGGGCTGCAATCTGCATGATCGGCAATTGGAAACCACAAGGAGCTCCACTGGAGAGAAACTAGGCTTTGTGCTCCCATAGAAATTACAGTCTCAGAAACCCGTAGGAGGACGCTATGCATCAGCATCGACTAGATGGGAGCAAGTTCTTTTGTTTGTTTATTGGCAACTACTGGATAAACTAAAAAACTTGTTGTCATGTAGCCAATATCTGATTTGTAGCCACCATACAGGACCGAGTAGAACTGCAGTTGTGCATTTACGGGAGCAGAAAGCCTCACCTTTCTCCCATGGAGTGGCTAGTGGTTTTAAACTACTGATCTTATAATTAGCAACCTAACACTGTGCCCCCAGGTTCCCTATCTAGTGGATAGCGGGACCATGATTGTAAATGTCAAAGATTCTGTAATGCACAAGACTGTCCTCACAGCAAAGAATTATCTGGCCCAAAATGTCAACATTGCTGAGACAGAGAAACCCTGAGTTAAGGAAATTTGGAATACGATTTAAATGGGACAGGTTAAAGCTAGAGGGACTTAAGATGAACTGTATATGTTGATTCTCTCCCAGTGCCTAATGTGAGATTCTTACTGTGAGATTATAGACAGGATGGCAATCTTGTGGAGTTGTTGGGTGGCGCGCACACACACACACACACACACACACACACAAAGGGTGGTAATTTATACTCACCCAATGGTACCTTCAGAGCCTGGTGGCTTAATGGGTTCACATTGGACTGCTAACTACAGTTTGAAACCACCAGCTACTCTGTAGGAGTAGATTAAGTTTTCTATTCCTGTAAAGATGAAACTCACGACGACAATTCTATGCTGTGTTGTATGACTACTATGAGTTGAAATTGAATCTATGGCAATAAATTTGCCTTTTTGAAGAGTGCCTTAGAAGAAAGGCCTGATGACCTCCTTCCCTCAAATTAGCTGTTGAACCCTGTGTACAGAATACAGGTCTATTCTGGTGCTGTGAGTTAGAATTAACTCAGGCACTGGTTCAGTTTTTTTCCCTATCCAGTTTAGTAGTTTGTTCAGTACTGCACTCTGGCTGGTTTTATATCAGAGATCGTGTTGTTTAAAACTAGCTCCTAGTGTCTTTCCAAGTTCTTGGTCAAATGCCTCCCTCACTTGGCACTTTTCTCAAGGAAGGGCTCGCGTTTGTATTTGAGTTGTGGGATATCAGCTAAGAATACTTATTTCTGTGGGGTTCTTGGTGGGAAAGTGACGGATTCAGCATTCCCTTTCTCCTAGTGTATTTTTCTGTTTCGACTCAGTGGGCCTGACTGCAGGACTAAGAGCCTTTGGCTTTGAGGGGTCTCAGTTTAGACCAGGAGCGAAGAATGGAAGCAGACTGCTCAGAGTCAGGGGACGTTCTGTGCTGGCCTTGAGGGAAAGGGATGGGGAAGGTTAGGGGAGGGGGTTGAGGGGTCGAGATTGAGATGACAGCAGATAGCTTACATTTCTGACAGGACTAAGAAAGTCCTAACAGTGTGTGATGACTGGTAACTACCATTGGCACATATTTATGATGCGGAATTTCTGGATTCAGCCGATGAATGGCCCCCAAACGGGTTCGTTGTACCTGTCTTCCCAGCAGCCCACCGTTATGAGGAGCTCTTGCACAGGGGCTTTCCTTTCCAGAAGTGGGCTCTGTGGCGCTGCCAAGTTAGCACTCCAGGATCTGACTGGAAATCATATCAGCAGCTGTCAACTTTTCATAAAAAGGTCAGCTAAAAATCGCTTTTAAGAAAAATAATACATGAAATAACATTTGCTCTGTTATTGAACAGGGGCACAATAAATACTTGTTGATTTGTAGGATCTTTAGTATTTGAATGTGTATTCTCGGGGCTCTGGTACCTTTTCCACTCTGTCCCAGAAGACTTCTGCCTTTGCCTTGATCTGTATATGGCCTATACTTTTCTCGGAGAGTCTCTCTCGAGAAGAGGTCTTATGTTATCCACCCTTGAAATGCCCCTCCTGTAGATAAATGACCCGTTACCCTTGGCTTGCCTGTTGCCAGCACACGTCTGTCTGTGCTACTCTAGCTTCTCAAGGAAACACCTTCACTGAGTTACGTCCCAGTTAGACTTTTACGTGATATTTAAGGTTTATATCAGAATCAACTTTTACTGTTGTTTAGGATCTAAGTCCTGTTAGCAAGTGTTCCCCGTGAAATGTATCTCATGAGTTTAATCCTAAAAAAAAACCAAACTTCTTTCATAAGAGAATATCATTCCTCCTTTCTGACCATGTAAATTACATAAATATCCTATCTTCAGTTTTTCCTTAGACATCTGAAATTCTGAGCTAGGTTTTCTGTTTCATCACAGGAATGGTTTTGACTTTTGCCATGGGGATGTTTGTTTTCTCTTTATTCTTCACCTATTACCTGCCCCCCCCCTTTTTTTTCTTTCAGTGGACTGCATCTGCCTTTTTATCAGCTGCCTCAAATGCTCTTTGGAATGAGGCAGGATATAAATTCAATAAGTATAAGATGCTTTAACCACGTATGAGGAAAACCTTCTTGGGACAGTGCCTGAACATTACTTATACAAAGAAGGTTTGGCTCCCCACCTTTGTCAGGAAAGCTGTTCACTAATTTTCCCGTACTCTTGAAAGGCTATGGAATGTCAGTGAGCATATACGAGGGCTTATGGTCTACATTCCGTGTTTACTGTACATGATGCCGTGTCCTCAGTGTGTATTTACAGATTGCTGTGCTGTTACTTAATCGGACTGTCATCATTTTGTGGCATCAAAATCTGGCCAAGGGTCTTCTCTGGATTCCGAGGGTTGCTGTAACCTAAGGTGACCAGATTTAAAGCGGGACACCATTGACCAGGGGCGGGGAGGTGTATGCGGGGGTGTGTGTTCTTGATTAAAAATTTGGTCTATATAGACCAAATAGACCATTCCCTAGCTTGTCGTGCATTCTTTCCAAAAATCGGAACTGTCCCACCAAAAGCGGGACATCTGGTCACCTTGGGATAGAAGCCCATCACAGTGCTGATGATTTCTGTTGCTCTTTTGTAGTTTCTGGTGTCAGTCAACCATCCTCGGCATTCCTTTGCTTGAGAACTCCGGTGGCATTTCACAAACCCTGTGTGTGTCCTTGGGTCTCTTTTGACATTAAAACATAATAATAAAATAATATTAATAATAATAATGAAGACATGCCAAACTTAGAATCTACCTTACTCTGATATGACTTCTTGTGGAAAACCTCTCTTTCCAAACAAGGTAGGACTTCCACCCTTCTTTTTGGAGGACACAAGTCCATCTGTAACAGGTCTTACACAATTTGTATTATCGATTATTGGAACACTGAACTTTAGAATTAGAGATCACTTAGTCCAGCTGTTGCCAACCAGTGATCATGTTTGGAGATATTTTGGGTTCTTACAACTGGCATCTAGTGAGTAGAGGCCAGGAATGCTTCCTACAATTCACAGGATAACCTACATAACAAAAATTATCCTACCAATTTTTTGTGGAGGCTAAGAAACACTGAATTAGTCAGGTACTATTATTTTTCAGATAACCTGATACCAAAGATTTTAAGTCTTACCCTTTGGCTATAAGACATAGACTAGAATTACCCAAATTAGCTTTTAAAACTGTGAAATGATGAGACCAAGATGCCCACTATGGTAGACTGTTTTCAAGAGTTTAGCAAGAGGGCTACACATTGCCACTCTGAGGACTTGGACACGGCTACTGGTCTTGATTTGGCCCATAAAATGTGTGCAGAAGTGTGAGTGGCAGTGTTCCAGGTGGAGACAGTGCTCTCAGCCTACTCAGAGTGAAGGGGGCATGAGCCACACTCTTCCTGGTGCAGATGTGGTAGGAGCTGGAAATAAATCCGTACTGGGGTTTACAAAATATCATATCAAAAATTAGATCCCCAGGAATTGTGATGTACACTGATTGAATTGTGCACCCCCAAATACAAGAGGACTTTAAAACATTATAGAAAAATGGAACTAAAAGTTAAAGGGATTTTCCCATGAACTTTTTGAAGCCCCTTGTGTCTCCAGGTTTGGCAGTTACGTAGTGATATAATGTGGCAATTGTGAAATTATGTCATTATCCCACTTGATGTAATCGGTCCTGATCTGATGTAAGGGGATTAAGTTAGAATATAATATTCTTCATCAGGTCCATAGCCCCAGTCTGATGTGAGGGGGTTTCCTTGGCGTATGGCCTAGATCACCTCTTAACTTCTAAGAGATAAAGGACAGAGCAGAGAGCAGAGGGAGCATAGTACCGCCAGAAAAAGAGGAGCTGTAGAGCACATGCCTTGGGTTTAGGGGCTCTGTGCTGGGAAGCCCTAGACCCAGGAGAAGATGGATGCTGAGGCTCATGGAGATCCCCCAGGAACTCCAGGCCTAGAGATGTTGAAAGGAGACAAGGACTTTCCCCTGAACGGAACCAACAGAAACTGCCTTCCCCTACATGTCGCTCATGCCCTGAGTTCTAACTTCGGACTTCGTATCCTGGGAGAGAAGATGTATGTTTGTGAGAGCCATCTACGTGTGCTGGTTCTGTGAGAGCAACACAAGACACAGCATTCCTAGTAGAGTAGGTAGGTGTTGACCTTCTTCCTAGTTTTATGACTTCATATCCTTTTCTTCTGTGGCACCTTTGGCCATGATCACCTGGACTAAACAGTAATGTTCATGCCACATTTCTGTTATGACTGGGGTACTGTGAATAGTTGTTTGTTTATTCTTCCCGTTTTGTTGTTTGTGTAGTTATGGTTAAGATTATAGTACTAAAACTGTTGAAAGTGAGCGCTAGACAGTAAGACAGTTTACTTCACCTTCTCCCTTTATTGAATCGCTTTTTCTTCCTCTCTCTTGTCCTTTTATATTTGTTTCTGCTCAGCCTTGAGCACTCAGCCTTTGCTGGTTGTTGTTTTTTCCTACCCATGTGCCTAGAGCAACGAGTTTCCTGAGGCGGAGGGTGGTGTGAGTGGCCACTGGCGCTTGCTGATCTCGGCAACTGGATCGCAGGTGAACGTAGTGAGTGAGATCAGCTGGCTTAGTTCTGTACTAGGCACTCATTATAGGGAGGTGAAAAGAAAAAGGTTCCTTATTTGAACATCTTAACCTTGCAAGGAAATAGGCTTTCAGGAAGGCTATTTTGTCTTGTGATTCCCTAAATTCACATGTGAATCTGATCCCACTGCTTCAGTAATGACGAGAAAGCACACCCAGGGAGAAAGCAACAGGAAATCTGGAGTCTAGGCTTACCGTAGATTTGGCTGATTTCACCTTCCTTCCACTGCACCCACCTCCCCTCCCCATAAAAGCCCTTCCCACAACCCCAAGTATCTTAAAGGTACGGAGAATTCAGACCCTGCTACCTCAGACATTTGAGGAAATCCAAAGTGGTCAGTCCGTTGATCCTTCAGAGCCTGGTGAATGGTCGATGTTATTCCCCAAAGAGGCTGACGTGTGTGGGACAGGCTTTCTTCCATTCCTGTGTGTTCTTTTCATGTGCCAGGTCCATGCTTTTCATGTTTTCCAATGGATATCCAGCGCTAAAGGACATATGCTTGGTAAAGAAGCAAGGCGGCAAAAAGAGGAAGGCCCTTGACAAGATGGATTGACACACTGGCTGCATCAGTGGGCTCAAGCATTAGACACTCGTGAGGGCGGCCCAGGACCGAGCAGTGTTTCGTCCTGTTGTACACAGGGTCTCTGTGAGTCGGAACCGACTCAGCCACACCCAACAACATCTAATGCTAAATAGCGTACAAATAAAGTGTGCTATTCTTAGGGTTCTTCCAGGCTGGGCATTAATCATATTGATCTCCATTCCATCCTGTGCCCTAGGACACTGCATTCTCTGTTCTGTTTCTCGTTTTTATCATTCATTGTCCAGTTGTTATATGTCTATCACCATGTAGTATTATACCAGTTGTCAGCATAGCCCTAGTTATTCCTGTAGCATAAAATGCCCTAGGTGACCACCCACCTCTGGGCCCAACTGGGCAGGCAGAGTTCCAACTGCCTGCATCCACTGTCTGACTCTGAAGTGGTACGTTCCACTGGGACTCTGGGAATCCATGCTCTGCCCACCTGCTCTATCCCAGCACTAACTGCGGAGATAAGCTGGGTGTCAACTAATCTCAGCAACCATCTCTGAAGAATTTAGCTTAACTAATTGCTCTTATGAATATTCTCTGTCTTAAAAAGGGACTGAAAAAGCTGCTAAAGCAGTCAGTGGTTCTCAACCTTGCTAATGCCGTGACCCTTTCATACAGTTCCTCATGTTGTGGTGACCCCCCAACCATAAATTAATTTTGTTGCTACTTCATAACTGTCATTTTGCTACTGTTATGAATCGGGCGACCCCTGTGAAAGGGTCGGTTCATCCCCAAAGGGGTCGTGACCCACAGGTTGAGAACCACTGCTCTAGAGTCATGCTCGTCTAGTTTTAACTCCAGATTTTTTTTTTTCTTTTCAAGCCTAATGACAGAGCAAACATGTAAGCCTGAAACATCCAATTCCTTGTTCCTGGTTCTCAGCGGCACTTTAGAAATTTTTAGGCATTTGGTTTGGCTTGGTTTGATTTGGTTACCTCTGGTAACATAGCCAATTCACTAACTCCAAGTTAGAGAGAAAAAGAGAAGATGGCTGAGCCAGGGGGCTTGCCAAAAACGTAGCATTATGTACGTGTATACTGGAATGTAAAAGGCATTTTGAGGGGAGTCACATATGTTCCCAGGTATCTTCCCTTATTCAGATCACAAAATGAACACAAATGTCAAGGTTGACCATAACAATCATACTAAACAGTAAGAGTAACATTGGTGATGCACAAGCACGCCCCTTTAATGTCTTTGTGATGCTCCAGACAGAGTTGTCCAGAGTCACCCAGATGATGGCGCACTATGCATGTATCTCTTTGAACAAGACAGAAAGTTAGGAAAATTCCCCAGAGGCTGGGACTAGGAACCAGGCAAACATGGAGTGAGTTAGGCTGGTGACAAACAAGGGGTAAGTCCAGGTTATTTTATTTTATTTTTCTTTCCGAAAACTTCCTCAGACTTTTTTTTTTGTTAACCATAATACATATATTCATCAAGCCGTCTTTGTAAGAGCTTGCACATATTTGGAATTCAGTAAATATTTGTTGCATAAATGATTGTGAATTCCGTAGGAAGGGCTTATTTCACAAATAGCCTCTTATAAGAAGACTTCCAGACTCTCTCCATATGAAAACAAAAGAATAGGCTGCCTCTCCCCACAGGATTTTAAAACCACTTCACACAGTGATCTAGAACATAGGCCTAAACTTGTTTGTAGGCAGGAATAAAAAGACATCACCACATTTTTCCTACTGCTGGTTCATTGTTTTTCCCATGGACTTGTAGGCGTTCTTTGTCTATGATGACTATTAACATATTTTGTGTGTCTTGAAAATAGGTTGTCTTCTGCCTTGTTTCTCCCTCCCTTTATTTTTTATTTTTTTCCCTTTTATTTTGTGCTTTTAAAATAATAATAATAAGACTCAAGCAATTAATGGATATATTTTTTCCTTTCTAGTTTCTTTATTTTCTATTTGATATAAAAAGTCTACTAGATCCCTAGATCACACAAATATTCTTAAATTAAAAAAAAAGATACTTTCTAAGCGGTCCACAGGACTCACCCTGGACTTACTGTCTTTCAGTTGGATAGGTGACTGTGTCAGCAGCATCAAGCCCCTTTGCCTCCAGTGCAATGAATTGCCCGCTCTGTCGGTATTGCCAGCTTTCCCCAGTTCTCTATTCGGCTCCACGAATCTATTTCCTATAGTTAGACCAGGATCATACTGCTTGAAAACAGTGTCTTTAAAGGAAGTTTAAGAATAGAGATATCATAACAAGTATAGACTTATTTTTTTTTTTAACATTTTCTTGGTTATCTTCAGATTTTAATTTTTAAAATATATGTAATTATACATCAGTTAGATCACTTATTCCCAAAACTTTGTGGGGATTCTAACTAGAATTGCATTAATCTCTGATTTGCAAACATGAAATGTGTTTCCTTTTATTCAGGTACTTCTTAATGTTTTCCAATATGGACATTACGGTTTCCTCATATAGGAATTGTGTCTTTCTTAAATATTTTATAGATTTTTTAATAAATGGAATTTTGACAATTTCCCTTTCTACTTGTGTATTCTTAGTATAGGGAAAAGCTCTTGATTTTTTTCTTAGTCATGTGATAGCACTTTTTATCTGCAATAATTTATTAGTTCAATTTTTCCTTTTAACCTGTTCTTTTGAAGTTAAGTGTAAGATAGATTGTACCTACCTTGCTTACTCTTGTTCTTAGCTTTCAAGTAGAAGCAAGGACTAAGGACAAGAATACGTACTCCTATCAAGTTGATGGAGATTCACAGTGACCTTGTAGAGTAGAGTAGAACTGCCCTTTGAGCTTGAGACAGTGAATCGTTATGAGGCAGACAGCCTGTGTTTCTTGGAGGAGCAGCTGCTGGGTGTGAACCGGTGATCCTGTGGGTAATAGTCCACTGTGTAACTCACTACACCACCAAGGCTACTTCAACAAAACATTTCCTCCTTTAATAAGGGTTTGAGCGAAACTTCAACAAGCTACTCCTTTCCCTTGCAGTGCTAACACATACTAACCTTTTAACATTCTTGGATTCTTGCTCCCATGAAATTCAGAAGGTCCCTAATTTCCCCCTGAACTTTCTTTTTATTACCTTTATGTATATTCAACGGATCATACCGTTCACTCATTTCATGTTTAGTAATTTTTTTATAACTTTACTGCAACCATCACCATAAGTCAGCGTTCAGACTTTTATTGCCCTAATGAGACCCTAATGACCCAGTGGCTGCAACAGTGGGCTCCAACATCACAGCGGGTGTGAGGATGGCCCAGACAGGGCAGCACGCTGTTCAGTGTGCAGAGTCAGAATGGACTCCATGGTGCTCAACAACCGTGCCACGTTTTATGCCCATACCACATTTTGTCCATTTCCCAGTTGGTGCCCTTTTAAGTTAGTTCCAATTTGGGGCTATTATGTATAAGCTACTGTGAACATTCATGTGTAAGTCTTTATGTGGGCTCTATGCTTTCTCTTTCTCCTTCTATGATTATGCAATCTCAGACAGTGTTTGCTTTTTAACTTCCTTTAGAAAAAACAAGTTATTTTTTAAGTGTGAATTACGAATGTACTTACATTCATTTTTATGAAATTATACTCTGCCTAGTATAGGTATACTTTTATGCGATTTGGGTGTGTCTTTAGTTAGTTGGTAGGCAAGGGGTGAGGACCTGATGCTGGGAGCTTGGGTGGAGAGGGAATGTTTTGAGGGTGATGGGGGCAGTGGATGTGCGGGTGCGCTTTGCACGGTTGATGTGTGTATGGATTGTGATGGGAGTTGTGTGGGCCCCTAATGGAATGATTAAAAAAAAAAAAAAAAAAGAATCACTTTTTCAGGGCTTCATGGGTCTCCTGCCTCAGAATAATATTCTGAGGTTTATAATACCAAGAGACCACTGCTGGACGCAGCACAAAGGAGAGAAGAGACATGGCATCAAAGAGAATCGAGAGTAAGCATATGTTCCCAGTAAGCATGGTAGGAAATCGTAGGCCATGGCCAAAGCACTGTCCACATGCCTTTAGTGTGGCTCCTTATTGTTGCCACTTTAACTTGACTACAGGTCTTAAGTTACAGTGTTAACTATACAGAAAGGTACAGAAAACTAGGACCAGGTAGGACACGGTTAAAGAGAACTGACCAATTTGGTAGGTCAGCACATTAGATCCTAATTTATAGATCTAAAAGACTGTAGGATTTGATCAGCTTTGGCCGGATTCAAACTGGAATGCCCACTCCAAATACCCCAGCTTGTGAGTGTGGACTTTCACAGCAGGAATCTCATGGTACCACCATAATGAAAATCCAAATTGGTGGCCACTTACTGGTTCTGCATCATAGTGTCTGCATTTGGACAGAAGTCTTACAACTAATAAAGTAGGCAGAAAGAGCAGGTCCCCCCCATGCTGGAGGAGGGAATACAACGATGAAGGCTTTTGCATTACGTTTTCCCTTCAGGGGTTCACACTGCACTTTAGGGAAACAATAACTATTTCTTAGAACTCCACTTTCTAACAGAGCTGCCATTTTATCTGTGCTTGGTAGGGATAGATTTGGGGTATATAAATATTCAGCAATGAGACTTCTTTAAAGCTCATCAAAATATAAATCTCTAGGAATATAGCCTTTAAGAGGTGTTATTACCTGTAGTGAAGAGACCCTGCTTTGCATTCTTTCCCTGTTGTTTAAGCAATTTGTGGTACTTCTTTAGAAACACCTGGCCACATCTCAAGTGATTAAGCAGTTCTGTTGAGAAGCCCAATGATACCATATTTTCAGTTCCATGCCCACTTATATTTTAAGAAAATATATTTTATATAAATGATCACTTATATTTTAAATAAATAATCACAGCAATTTCTAGACCAAGTATACCTTACAATATAGAAACATTACATCATTGGTATATTTATCAACTCATACTTACAGTTGAACCTGACAGGAAAATATCGATCCCTTTCTAAAATAGATAAAATGCATTTCGAGGCAAATTGCTTTTCTTCCTATTTGTGCTAGCCACTCACTGCTTAAAGTCTGACACATTGAACAGTAAAGGAGTCCATTTAAATGTTGTCAATTCTATCTGTACTAACTTTACTAAAACTGTGAGAATAAACAAAAGTTTTTTCTTAATTTTAATCCTAATTTCTTGTATATGGAAATTGTATAGTAGGCTGAAGCAATTGCTATCTTTGTAACAGGAATTTAAAAAATGAAAGATGCCCCTTAAAACTAATGTAGTATGGCTTGTGATAAGAGTTGTATGAGCCCCTAATAAAACGTTTAAAAATAAATAAATTAATTAAAAAAACTAATGTAGAGAGCCTTAAAAAATTTGATTGAAGAGGACTTACTTAGAAAAGCAAACACTAGACCAGAGGAGGTACACTGGTACAGATAGGAACTGAAAATACAGGGAATCCAGGACGGATGAGCCCTA